AGCATGCTCAAGGTCCTGGGTTCCATCCCCAGCACTGCAAAGGGAAGAGAGAGACCGAGAAATACTGTTTACAGAGGCTTAGAGTTAGGAACTCTGAGGTAGTCCATTATGTTGGAAAACACAGTGAAGATGGGATGAAGGATATGATGTAATCTAAGACAGAAGAGACTTCATGCTGTGCAGAGAAATCCAAAGGGTACTGAAGAGCCACTGAGGCATATAAGCAGAGGGGTGAAGAGTTCACATGTGAAAGACTATAGGAGGCCGAACTGAATGGCTTGAATTTTGGAGCCAAAAAGTCCCAGGGGTCAGGAGGAGAACCCCCCTAGTGTGTGGTTGAGCAGAACGATGGGCATGATGAATGTACTTAGCTCCATTCCTCAGCATTGTGTGGAGGAGTAGCTAGCTCTTGGTTTTCTTGACCTGGCCGGACCTGGGGCATTGCCTCCAGAGACCTTTGCCCCCTTTGGGGTATAGTATAGTATTGCTCCTGTCTTTGTGCTTCTTGTCCCCGGTGGCAAGGTTTAGCCCACATTTGTTCTCAGGCCCAGTGAATGTGTATTCACGTGCACATACCCTGCCCATTTGGCATCCTGAACATTCTGATGTGTCTGCAACCTTCCCAAGGAATGTGGGGGCAATAAGACCACCAGGGAGGTGACAGGCTTGGACTTCTGGCCTGGCTCTGCTGCTTCCTCTCCAAATGCATTCTTAACCTGGGCTCAGCGCTGTCACCTGTAATTGTGGCATTGGTTGCTAAATTGGTGAATGCTGGGTGGGCTTCTCCTGTCACTTTCTTCACTGTACTTGCCTTTGATCCTGAGATTGAGGAAGGTTGTGCTTAGTGGAGTTACACAGTGTGAGCAGAGGCCCATGGAGTGGAGGGAAGGTAATCCAGTGGTATGGAGATCAGTGGCACAGGAAAGGAAAGTAAACTTGGTGTCAGGCCTTCTGGTGCCCTGAAGAACAACACTCATACCTTACCAGACCTGAGCTGGGGGGATTTGGGTATCCATGATTCTGGCCCTGTTGTCTGGCTGACACTATGGAGTCCTGGCTCCTGAGAGCTTGGGGGTACTCACATGTAGTGTAACCAGGCTGAGTGATTTGGAGGGGCTCCCTTCAAGGCCCAAGTACCTTGCAGTCCTTTGTATATGACCTGTGCTTGGGTGCCCTCTCTTTAGGTGATAACCTTCATGTGCTTTAGGCTCTTCTGACCACGGTATGCTGCTACTCCTGTCTCAGCACTGATCTGGGGAGAGAGCAGGGTAGGATTTAGAAGCATGATGTTAGCTGTGCCTCATGCCTGTAATCCTAGCTACTCAGGAGGCAGAGATCAGGAGGATCATGGTTTGAAGCCAGCCCGGGCAAATAGTTTGTGAGACCCTATCTTGAAAAAACCCTTAACAAAAAAGGGCTGGTAGAGTGGCTCAGGTGTAGGCCCTGAGTCCAAGCCCCAGTATCAACCCGGTGGGGGGGGGGCAGGGGGCGGGAAGCATGATGTTGGTGGAAGATGAGTAGGGGGAGTCTCAGCATTGGATTACTGCAAGAGCGACATTAGGGTACTGGGTCTGGGCTTTGTGGGAGTCTGCTGCTCAAAGGTGCTAGAGCTTAGCCCTGATTGTAGGGGTCCAGACACTAAATAGGCCTGCTGCACTAGTCCCTGCTTCCTTGCTCTGTTAGAAAGCCAACCTTTATAGCATAGGGTTCTTGGTAAGAGTAGAACCAGAAGTTGAAGAGTAGTCATCATTGGGCCTGGAGAGCTGCCCTTTCACCAGGGTCACTATGGCCTATGTCCAGGATGGTTTCCCCATTTCTCAGAAATGGTGATGCTGCCCCAGTGCAGGGCTGTGCTCTGCACTGTGTGTATGTGACTGAGGCCAATGGCGTGCTCTGGTTTAGCATTGTTCCCACCCCCAGCAACTTTTCAGACTGTTAAATGAGTACTAAAGTATCATGAGAGGGGCACCTGGGACAGAATCCATCCCTTTCTTCACACATTGATATGTTGTAATACTTTTGTCACCCTCTTTTTTCTGGTCTCCACCCAATTTCTGTTTTGTCCTGACACTCTGGGTGATACTGGTAGTTTTCAGAGCTAACCCTTACCTCATACACCTGTTCCAGATATGTAAGGCAGATCATCATTCCTGTTCTTTTCTGAGGAGGCCCAGGTTCAGCTCTTACTACTAGAACTGTGCCTCCTGACTCCCTATTTGTGGCACTTTGTTAAACCCTGAGAAACCCATCCTGCTCTATGTGAGGAACATGTTCTGAAGTTAAGCTGGGGACTTCATGATGAATCTAGCTCTAGCCTGGTTTCCTGCAGCTTGGTGACGCTTCAGAAGTTGGGGGAGGGCAGGAGCTTCTCCATCCGTTACAAAATATACTTGTAATGGTCCCAGGAGATGTGTCAGACTCTTTGAACCCCAGAGCTCATACTGTCCCTGAGTGGGTACGGGAAGCTTGGTTTCTGGTAGGAGCACAGGTGATCCTACCAGAAGGGTAGGATCCCTTCTCTGGGGGCTGCTTCCTAATGGCAGCAAAGCTATCATTGTGTGGTGGTGGGGTGGGGGAAGTTCATACCCTTCTCTTCTTCCTGGTAGCCAGAGAAGTAGAGGGGTGGTCAGTGCTCCTAGCCTTTCTGGCCAAGCTCAGTTGGTCTCACCTGTCTCCCCAGCCTTTCTTGTAGTCTGTCTGTAGATGTTTGGTGAAAGTCCACTGCCATGGCCTCTGTCTGCCCAGCATACTTCCTCAAGTAATAAACTCAAGAATAGTTGGGCCCACATCAGTGCTCAGTTTGTGGCAGGATGTTCCCCAGAAGTGTGTGGATCACACTGAGGCACAAGATTTCATCTTGGTGGCTTTTTCTGTCTACTATTCCCCTAAGGAAACAACTCCTCAAAGGACTTCACAGGCTTTTGGGGGCACTCAGGGACCTTCCTACTCTAAGCGCAAGGTCCCTGTCACTTGTGGGGTCTCAGCTCTATGGGTGCCAGAAGAGGGACTTTCTTCCATAAGGCTATAGACTCTTGGAGTCTTCAAATCAAGTTCAATGGCCAGTGGTCTCATTTGGTCTGATGTCTGTCACCTGGACCTCTCAGTGCTGTAGGAGAGAACTTGGTGGAATTTTTTTTTTTTTGATAGGACTGAGGTTTGAACTCAGGGCTTCACACTTGCACAGCAGGTGCTCTACTATTTAAGCCACACCTCCAGACCCTTGATGGGTTTTAATTCATACCATGTCTAGGTGTTGCCTTAAAGGAGGCAATTCCCGATTTTGAGACCCTCAGAACTGAATGCAGTCTTTTTTTTTTTTTTTTTTTTTTTGGTGATACTGGGATTTGAACTCAGTGCCTCATGCTTGCTACCAGGCATTCTGCCACCTACCACTTAAGCCACTCTGCCAGCCCCCCCTGAATGCAGTCTTAAAGCCAATCACATCTTTCCCTCCTTTCCTCAGGTGGGGAAACTGAGGCCCAAAGAAGGATAGCAACTAACCTGGACTCTGAGTGGCAGCATCAGGATGGAGTCTTTCTCCTCTTGTTGCTAGGTCCTGCTTCCCTGAGCCTGAAAGCAGCCCAGAGTGTAGGCTGAGACTGGTGGGCAAGTTGGTGAGCTGGGCCCCTCTAGCCTTCCCCTTCTATGAGGCCAAAGCAAAGGGGCAAGGATGGTGTCCTGCCTGCCTTCCCATTGGAACACCAGTTTGGGCTGAGGAGATCAGAACTTTTATTCCTGGCTGAAAGAAAGGAGACGCTGCTGCTGTCTTCAGAAGAAAGACCCTGGCCTGGGTTCATAGTGACTCCTGTTCGTCAGGTTTGAAGTCTTCACTTCAGCTTAAATGTTTTCTCCCATGACTTCCTGGATGTTGACCTTTGCTGCCTTTCTGACTCATTTTTCCTAATTTGCTTATAGCAGACCACCAAATGGAGAGAGTGGCCAAGGCAGCTGTGGGAGTGTGGGTAGCTGTGAGGAACAGATGTAACTTTTGGGTTACCTACCTGCTCTCTTCACCTCAGCATCCTTGTGAATGTCCTTTTCTCTCAGAACCCACTTAATACTTAGTGCCCAGAAGGCTCCAGAAAAGGTGCTTCAGGACCTTCTACCAACTGTGCCCCAGTCACTCACCACCTAGTCTGTTACTCTGGCCCCTCTCCTGCCCCTGGCTCCTGTCTTCCTGACTTTCCAGTCTTCTCTGTGCCACACAAGAAGCCTTAGGACTTCATTGAGTTTTCTCAAAACAACTTCCTCCTGATCTGGCTTTATAAGGACTCACTTGGATCACTGCCCTGAGCATCTCTCTGCCCAGCCTGTCTATCCCTGTCTTCCTCGTCTATAAGTACAGACTTAGTTGTTTTGCCTTTGCTGTAAGCACTGTATTCCTTGAAACTTGCACCTGTTGCTGGGTGGAGACTTTGCTTTCAAAAACCCTCTGTCTCTACTTGGTTAGCATCCTAGAATGGACAGACGCCTCCAGGGGCCTGTGGCAGGACCAGAGACAAGCTCATGATTATGGAGTGGGCCTGGGCTTCACCCACCCCCTGGCAAAGGACCCTTCCTGTATTGGTTTTGCCAGCAGGGATAAAGGCATCTGTTGGAATGTGTGGTACTTACTACCGGGGCCCTTAGTCTTTTGGCAAGTGGAGTTGATGCCCCCTGGAGAACCTCTGGGCCTGAGTGGAACAAGAGTTGCTGCCTTATGCAGCTGAAACAACCCTGGAGTCTACCCTCTGCAACAGCATGTCCCTGCCATTGGAGAACTGTAAACAGAAGTGTTCCATTCTTCACTCTTAAACCTGAACTTGAGAAAGATGGTCTCTGGAAGTCAGCTAGAGCAATCTCTAGTTGAACTATAAGTCGATTAAGGCACAGAGCAGAGACTGCTGGCTTGTAGGCCCAGTTGGTTTCCACTTGGCCTCACCAGAGAGAGAATTGTTCTGATGGGGCCTGTCCCCTCATCAGAGGCCCATTGGAGACCACATGTTCATTTCTTGTTACAGGACAAGATTAGATGCACCCCGGTTGGAAACAAAGTCCTTGAGCAGCTCCATATTGCCACCCAGCTATGCTTCAGATCGCCTGTCAGGAAACAACAGGGACCCCGCTCTGAAACCCAAGCGGTCCCACCGCAAGGCGGACCCTGATGCTGCACACAGGTATGCAGTTTAGGACCGTCAACAAAGGCCAGGGAAGCAGCCCATAGCCTGGCTTCAGGGAATACTAGATGGAGATGTCTAAAGAGTAGATTGGTTAGGGTCCTGGGATTGCCCACCCTTCCAGAGTCTTATGTCTGGTTCCTCTGGGATAGTGACATTGATGGCATTCCTACCTAACTCCTAGAAACCTATGTCCTATATCCCTGGAGGAAAGGGGGGCAGGCCAAGATCCTGACAAATGGGAATGTATCATGGCCTTCCCATCACCTCTTGTTCAGTTCAAGTTGGATACACACTTGGGTATTAAGAGGGAATGTTGGCATGTAGAAGTGAACCAGGGACCTGTTGGAGAGGGTTTCTGTTTAAAATGAGACCAGAAGATCTGGGTGCCAGTAGCTCACACCTTTAATCCTGCCTACTTGGAGGTTGAGATCAGGAGGATCACAGTTTGAGGCCAGCCCAAGCAAATAGTTTGTGAGACCCCCATCTCCAAAACAATCAGTAAAATGGACTGGAGGTGTGGCTCAAGTGGTAGAGTACTTTCTGAACAACTGCCAAGCCCTGAGTTCAAACCCCAGTACCACCAAAAAAATAAAAATATAAGACCAGAAAGATGAGGAAGCTATACAGAAGGCTCTGAGGGAAAAAAAGCTTTGTGGTTTCAGGGGCTAGCAGGATTGGTGAGCAGAGAAAGGGTAATGGGAGGAGACAAAGTGGGGACAGTTTGGAAATAAAGATAGATGGTAGGACCATACAGGGTCTTGAGGCTCTAAGAGGGAAGATCTTCTCCTCAGAAGGTGTGGCAGGGTAGTGGGCACCAGACTCATAGTCAAAAAGACTCCTAGGGTGACTGGGAGATGTCCCCAAGATGAGGGGTCCACTGACATTTTGCAGACAAGAACTTCCAGTGTCAGTGCTTCTGAAGACAGGGATGAAGGCATTTGTTAGGAGTATATGGTACCCACCAGTGGGGTTCTCAGTCTTCTGGCAAGTGGAATAGATGCCCCTGGAGAACCTCTGAGCCTGAGTGAGGTGAGGAAGGGCTGCCTCATGCAGATGAAGAAGCCCTGGGATCTGTTCCCTAAGACAGAGCTTTGTTGAGAACCACTGACTGGAGCAACTTATCCCAAGGGCACAGATTCTGATACCAAGGGAAGCCAGACCCTTCCAGCCTCTTAGGTAACAGCTCTCTTTTCCTTGCAGGCCCCGGATCCTAGAGATGGATAAGGAAGAGAACCGGCGCTCAGTGCTGCTGCCCACACACCGGCGGAGGGGTAGCTTCAGCTCTGAGAACTACTGGCGGAAGTCCTACGAGTCCTCGGAGGAGTGCTCAGAGGCAACAGGCAGCCCTGCCCGCAAGGTGAAGATGCGGAGGCACTGAGGCCTGCCGTCACCCTCCTGGAACTCTGGCTAATCCTCACGTAGCTGCCCCTCCTTTTGTTTTGTTTTGAGGGTTTTTGTTTTGTTTTGATCTTATATATATATATATTTTCCCCCCTGGTTTGTTGCCCATTAAGGCTGAAGAACAGAATTTGCCAAGACCTGGGTTCTTGTGTTTTTGGCTTTCCTCCTGGATGGAAAGGCTGTTGGTCTTTGTAGGGTGTAGAACTCATGCTGGAGTAGCCAGTAGAGGTGTGGGGAGCAGCTATCTTCAAGTAGGGCTGTGTCAGACTGGATTTATTTAAAAACAGAAAAATGTTTAGTTAAGGAATTCTTGTTTTTGCTTTAAATGTAAATCTTCTCAGTGTTCTAAACAAAGTTCAGTCTCCTGCCCGCCCCTTTCCTCCACTGATGTTCACGCTCTGTTGAGGTTTATTGGAGCATTGTGGGCTTTGCCTGGGGCTGGCTGCCCTCACTTTTCACCTCTGCTCTCCAGGTTCTGGAAGCTCATGCAAAAACCCTCTTCCTTCCTCTGCTGTTCAGATTGGCTCTGTGGGGCTTAGACAGTGCCAGTCCCTTCCACCCCAAAGCAATTGATGAGCCCCCTAGGCTTCCTTCACACCCTCTGGCCTGCTCTGCCCACCATTTCTTGTGGGCTGCCAAGGGGCTAGCACAGTGGTCCTGACCTCTCTTGCCAAGAGCATGCCTCTTTGCTGGGTTGCTCCTTTCAGGCATATGCGTGTGATTGTACGGAAGTTAGACTTGCCATGTGGGGTCAGTTTTAGGAATTGTTTCTAGCTAGGACTGGTGTCCTTCCAAGTCTAGCATTTGGGGTATGGGAAATCATTGTGTGTGGTAGGGTTTTTGTTTTCTTTTGTTTAAAGGGTTTTTTGGGGGGGGTTTCCCCTCTTTGGTCTCTTGGCTTTTTCTTTTTCCTTTCTTTTCCATTGGCCAGCTTAGGCCTCTTCCTCATGTCATCCCTCTAGGAAGGTGCCCACTCTTCTGTCCTCTTGCAGCATGCATCCAGGGCCAGAGCTCAGACCTGCAGATGGGTTGGTGCCTTCTCTGCCTCAGGGGCGTGGGAACTGGGGAAGGGGCTTCTAAAAAATAATAAAATAAAATAAAATAAAAAGGTGAAGTCTTTGGCAGTTTCTACCCACTCAGATCCTGGAAAGCTGCAAGGTTTTGCTGATCTAGATTCATTACAAATGTCTTCTTGCTAACCAACCAGGATCTGGGCCTGCCAAAAGCAGAGGCCCTCCCGGAAACCAGGCCACCACCACTCCACGGGGCTTTGTGTATAGAGGCCTGGACCTGAGGCCTCAGAGGCTGCAGAAATCTGGGGCAGCCACCATCAAGAAGCCCCTTTCAGGGGCCAGAACTCCTCTGCCAGCGTGGATTCCTCAAGTCAGAACTGCGTAACTAAAGCAGTTGCAGTTTTATTTTTTTTACAGCTTTTTCTTTTCCCAAAAAATGATTTGTAGTTGTGTGTGCAGCACTTTGCCCTGATATGTGTGCTCTACAATAAAAACCAAATCTAATATATTTTGAAACAGTTGTCTGATGCTGTTGTAAGAGAAAGCTTGCCTTTGGTGCTTCTCTGAGCCTTTTATTTTCTTAAGCTTTGAATGAGTTCATTGCCCACCAGGGCCCCAGAGGAAACAACCAGGGCCTTCTGATGGTTGAAGGTGGACTTTGCCTCAGCCCACTGCCCTTTCCAGTCCATGATATTTAGATGTGCAGGGGCCATACCCTGCTAGACTGTGGAAAACACCCTCTCCCTGAGTGTGATCATGGAGGGCTGCATGCTAGCGAGGAGGAAGTAACCTCAGCTATGGGAGAGAGAAACCAGCTTTTTTCGAGGATGTACAAGTGGTCTTGCTCAGACAAATTTTTGAGTTTCCACTATATGCTGGCCAAGCCCTCACTGGAACCCCAAAGTGAGTACAGTTCTTCTAGTTCCTGATGTTCAGATGCTTGCAGTGGAGTTTGGGATATGGATTTGGTCATGAAGTAGGTGTTACTGGGTGGGGTGAGGCTGAGGACCACTGGGCTTTAGTCCTTCCATATTCTTGACTTTGATCCAAGGACCTGGCCAAAGGCTTCAGTCTAGAGCTTCCTTCATTCTGTTCCATTGCTTAGAGCCTGCTTGGCCAAATTCTTTTGGAAATCTGGAAAAGCCACTTCATTACCCACCTAACAGAGAAGATAGTCCAGAGAGGACAAGTGGTCAGCTAGGGCTCAGTTTAGATACCAGTGCCAGGGCTAGAAGAAAAGGGCTAGGACCTCTGTGGTCTGTACTAGGTGAGCCTGTCAGGGCACCATTGAGCTAGGCACAGTGGATCTTAGGTGCCCTGGAGAGGACACATTGGAGTTGAGAGAGAAATAACTTGCTGAATACAATCCAGACTGGATGCAGCAGAAGTGGGACTGCCACCTTGTGCCAGGGTCCCTGACTGTAGGTACATGGAATGGAAAACTGAAGGGATCAGGGCTGAGAGATCTTTTTGGTAGCTATACAGCCCCTTGGTGAAAGAAACTCTTCACCCAGCAGGACTGAGGGATGGAAGGGGCTTTGACTCCAGTTATCTCCCTGGTTTCTGTCTACTTTTATGATAGCCCTGTGGCTGCCATCTGTATATGGTGATAACCTAAGCAGAGCACCACATCTGACTCCCTGAATCTGCTTGCTTATGACATGGGCACCCAGCCAGGGGCAGATGCAAGCAGGAGCTGAGTCCCATCAGCCCCAACTGCAGCTGGTCTCATATACAGTACCTACTCCAAACAACAGCTGGCACCAGCCCCTGCCCACCAAGAAGCCCATCCCATTTCTCCAACTTTGGAGGGGGAAACTGAGGCCAGAGAGGTTGGGGGGAATATTTTTGACCATCCTACTATGGGCCAAGCCCAGTGATGGAGATACAACACCTAGTGCATAATGTCATTCACAAGTGTACTTAAGGTATTATACAGTGTACTGATATGAAGGAAGTGTAGTTCATAAACTGTAAATAATGAAATGTACAGTACTTTAAATTTCAGATAACCAGTTTCTCACAGAATGCTTTTGTTAGCTTTTTTGCTAAATTCTGGTATTTGTCATCTGCCTGTAGTTAAGTCAACCATGACACATCTTGTGGGCTTGTGTTCTCTGAGGTGGCTGAAACAGATTGCCACTGACTTGGAGAAAAATGTATTCTCACAGTTCTGTAGCCCAAAAATCTGAAATCACCATCCCTGGGCTGAAGTCAAAGTGGAACATGGACAGGGCCATGTTCCCTCCAGAGACCTCAGTGGGAAACCTGTCCCTTGCTAACAGCTTTCCTTCACTTGTAACCACAACTCTAGGTTCTGCCTCTCTGGTCATGTGTCTCTCCTGTGGGCCACATTTCTCCTCCCTCTATCCCTGCCTTTTTTTTTTTAAATACAGGATTTCTTTAATGACCTCCCTTCCTCTTTCTGTCTCTGTCTGTCTCTTTTGGTGGCACTGGGGTTTGAATTCAAGGCTTTGGACTTGCTAGGCAAGTGCTCTACTGCTTGAGCCATGCCTCTAGCCTTCTACCCCTCTCTTTTTTTGTGATTGGATATAGGGCTACTCACATAGTCCAAAATAATCTCCCCATGTAACAATACTGAATTACATGTGCAATGACCTTTTTATTTTTTGTGATGCTAAGAGTTGGACCCAGGGCCTTTTGCATGCTAGGCAAGTACTCTACCACTAAGTTACACCCTAGCCCTGAGCCTTTTTTCTTTTCTTTTCTTTTTTGGCAATACTGGGGTTTGAATTTAGGGCCTTGCATTTGCTAGGCAGATGCTCTACCACTCAAGCCATGCTCCTAGCCCCTCTTTTTCTTTGATGTAGCATTTGCAGGTTCCAGTGATGAGCCTTGGAGGCCACTGTTCTGCTTACCACATCCCCTTTTCCCCATAAATTGTTGTTAAATCTGATATATGAGCTACTGATTCCTCAAATTTTATTAATTAGGTTGAAATTTCTCAGACTCAGAACTACTTTTAAATTTATTTGAATCATTAATATTTTCTCCATTGCTTTCTTTAATCTAGACCTGTGCTCTACAGAGCCACTGGACCTTTTGACTACTTAATACTTGGAATGTGGCTAGTTTGAGTTGAGATATGCTTTAAGTATAAAATATACACCAGAATTAGATGTGTATGAAAAAAATATAAAATACATCATTTGATAATTTTATATTGATTACATACTGAAATAATACTATTTTGGACATACTAAGTCAAATAAAATATGTCATTTAAATTTATTTCACCAGGGACGTGTAGCTCAAGTGATAGAGTGCCTGTTTGAAAGCCCGAAGCCCTAAGTTCAAACCCCAGTTCCACCAAAAAAAAGAAAAAAATCATTTCACCTGTTTTTCTGTTTGAATCTGGCTGCTTGAGATTTTTCTCTCTTTTTTTTTCCTCTTTGTGTGTGTGTCGTGTGTGTGTACTGGGTATTGAACCCAGGGCCTTGCAAAAATATGGTCTTCTACACTGAGCTATCCCAGCCCCAGCAATTTTAAATTTCATGTGTGGCTCATTATTATATTTCTGTTGAATGGCACTGGTCTAGAAGATCAATGAGTCAGGACTGATTTGTGATGTTTGTCGATTTCTGTGGTTTAACTACATCCATGTTAGCTGATTTCAACATAAGGTAACTGAACATGAAGTTGTGAAGAGATGTACAGTAGCACGCCATTATGTAGTGTTTGCACCATACAGACACAGCAGATCTAAGTAAAGAGCATAGATATTTTTCTACTTTGCTGATTGTAAATAAAATATTAAAACAATAAATGGAGCATAGGACTGGGGATATAACTCTGTGGTAGAACACTTGTCTAACATGCACAAAGCCCTGGGTTCCATCCCCAGCACCACAAAAATAAAGCACAGATAACAGTAAATTGCAGAGCCGGGCTTGGTGGTTCATGCTTGTAGTCATAGCTACTTGGGAGATGGAGGATTGTAGTTCAAGGTCAGCCCTGGTGGTGCACACCTGTCATTCCAGCTATGCAGGGAAGTACAAAATAGGAGGATCTGCTGGGCACCAGTGACTCATGCCTGTAATCCTAGCTACTTGGGAGGCAGAGATCAGGAGGATCGAGGTTCAGAGCCAGCCTGGGCAAATAGTTTGCCAGATTCTTATCTCGAAAAAACCCTTCACAAAAAAAAAAAAATCAAAAATAGGAGGATCTCAGTCCAGATCAACCTGGGCATAAAGCAAGACCTTATCAAAAATAACCAACACTGAAAGGGCTGCCAGAGTAGCTCAAATGCAAGGCCCTAATTTCAAACTCCAGTACACAAAAAAAAAAAAATCTTGCCATTTTAGGTACCAAACCTAGGGCCTCACAGATGCTAAGCAAGCACTTTATCATTGAGCTACACCCCTAGCCCTACAAAAATTCTTGAAAATTTGCCGTGTGTGTGTGTGTGTATTACTGGGGTTTGAACTCATGGGTCTCATGCTTGCTGGGAAGGTGCTCTGCTATTGAACCACACCCTCAGGCCTTTTTTGCTTTAGTTATTATTCAGATAGGGTCTCACATTTTTGCCTGGGGTTGGTGTCAGATCATGGTCCTATGTGTCCTCATAGGTATTGAACACCACTTCTGGCTTGTTGGTTGAGATGGGGATCTCACTAATTTTTCCCCTGGGATGGCTTCCAATTGAGGTCCTGAAGTCCACCTCTAGAGTAGCTGGGATTGTAAGCATACATCTCCCAGTCTGGTCCTGAAAATTTGCCTTTTCATTGTTTGTGGTGATTTTCTTTTTTGCAGTACTAAGATGTGAACCCAGGACTTTGCTCATGCTAGCAAAATTTGCCATTTGAATCTTGCAAGTGGCTCCAACATACCACTGGGTTTCCTCTGTTCACATGCTTTACAACAGAGAAGAGAGGACCCTTCAGGCTTGTGCTGAGGACAAAATCATTGCAAGCGACTAAGAGGTGTAAGGCCTAAGAGCTGGGAGCCAGATGTGTATATGTGTGTGGAAAGGGGGTGTGTACTGAAGCCCTTGGGCCATGTCAGGGTTGGGGGTCCAGCTAGGTTTCAGGTGCCCATTGCTGCAGTTCCACTTGTGTCCACAGTGTGGCAGCAGAACCTGAGTAATCGCTTCATTGTTGGGGCAAGGGACAGCTAGCTTGGATGGGGAACTGAGGTCCCCAGAGGTCCCAGAACCTGCTAGAGCTTACCCAGAGGCAGGAATTCAGGTTCCCTGCTGATTCTGCCCTGCTCAACAGGAGCCCTTAGGGCAAGTGAGTATGGAAGGGCACTGGAACCTGGTGACTAGCAGAGGCCCAGATGCCATTAGATGCCCCCCAGGCCACCTGCAGAACTGTGGGCAGAGCTCCCCTGCCTGGGTCTCACCCTACTTCTCAGCCCCAACTCCTTGGGGAAGGACAGAACCCTGCCTTCCAGAGGCCTGTGACAGTGTCCACATGCCTAGTTCCTGGAGCCTCAAACCTGTGGGGGACAGGCGCACCCAAGTGCCTAGGTCCTGCAGTCCAACATGAGCAAAG